TAAAAAAAAAAATATGCTTAAAGCGGTAAATTTAATTAAGAGAAATTTATACCACAAATGTATACAGTTAAACAATATTTCTAACGTTAAATGTTTTATATAAAACACTATATCTAAGAAAATAACTGTTTTCTATCTACCCCTACTCGTTTTCACGAAAGATGATAATTAAATCAGAATATTTTTATTTGAAAAAGACATGGAGAACAGATATTTAATTATATTAAGTTAAGAGTAGGACAACTTTTGAACTTATTGTCTTAATGAACACACATAAAGTGACTCAATAATCTATAGAAAGAACAATCTAGAAACATCCTTCAAATACAGAGAAACGACCCGATTGCTAAGATTCAAGTTATTTAGAAATAACATAACGCAACAGTTGTTATTTTTACAAAATAACAGGTATAATACGTCACGTTATTTTATACGGCTCTAACCAGTTTTTAAAACCAAAATTTAACAGATTTGGGAAAATCAATTTTCTGAAACGACAACTCGTGGCGGTCGAAATATAGCAGTAACAGTTTTTTTTTACCATGTAACATTTTTTTTAATCCTTTAGATTGAATTATCCTTTAGATTGAAACACCTCCATTGGAATAAGGTCCGGTATTTATAAAATTTCTTGTAAAGATTGTAATCAGAAATATGTTGGGTAAACTAGAAGATCAATATTAACTAGATTTAAAGAACATTTAGCTCAGATAAGATATGGTAGACCGGATAAATCTTGCGTTGCTGAACATATTGTTGATAAAGAACATTGTCTAGATCTTAATAATTTAAAATTAATTAAACTAGTCTCAAGTTACAGGCAATTAGCCGCATATGAAAGCATCAGAATTAACAAATGTAAAGATAGTATGAACAGAGACAACGGTCCAATTCCTTCAAGTTCTTTGTTCCTCCTACTCTAGTGGTGGAAATCTAACTGTTACGCTCGGTGGGCTCTGACTCGGTTGGCTAGATCTTGCCACGCCCACTCGGTGTCTACTGAGCGAGTATAGAGGGTGTTCCAGGCTGAGCTTGCATTAGAAATTTCTAGAGAACTACAACATCTCGCTCGTAGATTTTTTCGGAAATACCGGAAGTTGGCAGCAACTTTCTAATTTTAAATGGGTGTCCCCATTTTTTATTATGTACTTAAATTCTCTGTAAAATTTTATGAATTTTGATATCAAACACTCTATATCTAACATTGACCGTTTTTTGAGAAAAAAAATATTTAAAATTTTTGATCGAAAAACTGCTTGTCAAAAATATGTGTATAGCCTAAACGTCAAATTTAGTGATTACCACAGCCACTGTATCATAAAGAGAAAACATGTGGCTATCTATTTCAAAAATTAAATTGTTCGAATGTCATATAATAATGGCAGCAGCTGTCATAGTATTCAGCGATTAAAAAATTATCATAAATCTTTATTTTCAATTGGAAAGCCACTTTTTTATTTCGCTAGTGAAAAGGCTTTTCAATTCGTTACTTTTTAACTATACATGTTCCTATACCTAAAATAAATCGTTTTAAAGTTATTTAAGATTTAGTAAAACTAAATTAATTTAGTTTTAAAGTGTATATTTTTCTTGATTTTAACCAGTAGCCTATGACTTTAAACCTTAAGTGATAGAGAATAGAATTGTTTTTAAACAATAATATATCTGGCTATGTTATATTGTGACGCTTTGTTCAAAAAGCAGCATCATTTTCGAGCCAACTTTGCGCTGTTTTTTCTTTTGATCATACGCAATATTATTAATAATATCAACTATTAGATATCGCTAAAGAGCGAAAATACGAGATATATTTTTATAAATACACTTTTTAAATTCTTAAGCAGGCAGTATTTATACTATAGGAAATTAAAATAATTTGTTTTTTGACAGATGGAAATAAATTGTCTGATCGTTTGACACTTAATGTCAAAGGAAACTAGATAAAATCAAGAAAAATATACGTTTTGAAACTAAATCTTAAATAACTTAAAAACGATTTATTTTAGGTATAGGAACATGTATAGTTAAAAAGTAACAAACTGAAAAACCGTTGCATTAGTGAAATAAAAAAAGTGTGTTTCCATTTGAAAAAAATTATTTATGATAATTTTTTAATCACTCAATTCCATGACAGCTACCGCCATTATTAGATAGAATTTGAACTATTTAATTTTTGAAATAGATAGCCACATGTCTTCTCTTTATATCGTAGTGGCTGTAGTAATCACTTAGTTTGACTTTTAGGCTATACAAATTTTTTTGACAGGTAGTTTTTTTCGTCCAAAAATTTTAAATCTTTTTTTTCTTAAAAACGGTTAATATAAGATATAGAGTGTTTAATATCAAAATTCATAAAATTTTACAGAGAATTTAAGTACATAATACAAAATTGAGGCACCCATTTAAAATAAGAAAGTTGCTGTCAACTTCCGGTATTTTCGGAAGTGCCGCCATATTGAAAATATTTTTAAACGATAGATCTCGTTGTAAAACAATGATGTGCAAAAAATCTCCGATCTAGATATTGTGGTTCTCTATAAACTTCTAATGCACGTTCAGCCTGGGACACCCTGTATAAACGCTCAAATTGTAGATTGTAGTTTAGTTTTAATCATCTGCTGATGATGCTAACATGGTTATCGAAACGCGCGTCCAGTGTAAAAGTAAAAGTGTTTTAGTGTATTATTGTGGCGATTTAGTGTTTTATTTTGCTTTTTTTTATCAGACACATGTTATTTTAACCTCTTATAACAGTAATAGTTTCAACAGTTATTAAAAAATAACAGTTTTTAGGCCAAACACCAGTGTGAACACGACACGAAATTTTAGCAACCACATCACAAAAACAGTGTGAGTAAAATATCTATTTCTGACCCTACCTTTAAGTTGTCCACCCCATAGATCCGCCCCTGTTTCTCCCGTAGCCGGGGTTTATAAACGACCTTGCATCGCCCTTAATACTCTCACCCGCTTAATAATTAAAATCAATTAGATAATTGCCGTTTCAGAATGTGTGTGTGTGCAGTTGTTTGGTTTAGTCGAAGCAGAAGTTAATAAATACCGGGCGCTGTATTCCTAGATTTACAGGCCAGATTAAAACCGAATTAGGTTTTGTTATTTTAGCTAGTCAGTTGCTTACGGTAATAAAACTGAAGAATTGAATAATAAAATGGCGGAATTTGAAAATCGGCTTTGTTTTACTGTTAAATAGAGTTGATTTTACTTATCTTTGTTCTAAATTACCACTACATATTTACGTTTTTAGTATCGTTTTTATTACTTAATGGTCTAAAGGTCTAATTTACACATACGTACCGCCTTAGTTCCAGTTGTTCATGCAACATTTGTGACGGATAATCCTAGACACTACACATCAGTCAAGAATTTCGTACTCTTGTGTGGGTACAAAAAAAACTTGGTTGAAATGGCGGCTATTGGTCATTATTGTAGGGAGGTCATGCAACTAAACACCATGCTGTCTATTTGAAAATATTTATTCCAGAATAGTCAATAACAGTTCATCATTTATCGATAACCAGAAAATTATGAATTATTACCTACACAAATTTCGCGCTACACCTCAAACATTGGCTACGACAAAGCTACGACAACTATACCAACTTACGTTGCAATAGATACAATAGTTTTGAAGATATTGTCATTTAAAATAAATGTGTTCACGCATCTCATTGTTCTTTTTTTTAGTTTTCTTTGATTGGGTTTGGGTTTACAATATTTAATCATTTGTACAATATAAGTGATGTGCAAAAATAAGTAGTTTAATTTTTTGTTTATTTTTCTTTACATTATTGGATTATTAATTGTTTGGTTGAGAATGATCACGTAAGTCATTAAATTAAATTCAATTTCGTTTCAAAATTCAAACTCAGATGATTTCTCTATTGCCCAGTGCGCGCGATCATAGTGCGCGTACTACCAGAAGACATTCGCAATTCGGCCGGTGTGTAGAGACCAAGTCGCAAACACTAGTGCAGAGATCCGATACCGTTTCTATTTTTCTGGTACTATTTTTTCGCAACAACGTTACGTGCGTCCGAAGAGTGTGGGCAAAAAAAAGGGTAAGTCATTTGAGTGCTCTGGCATATTTATTTCTCAATATTTTCTTTTTTTCAATTCTCTTTTCGTTCAATTTCGCAACATATTTTTGGTCCTTCGAGCCGGATAATTTAGCTAGATATTTCTTTTTGCACATTTTTTATTACTATTGGGTGATTTTAAATAATTTTCTATTAATTAATATTAAAATATTTGGTAGGTAATATAGTTTATTTCAATAAAATTTGTTTTTATCGATAAAATCGTTCGAATTCGTTTTTTTGTCGCATTCCATTTAATCGTTTGGATAAATTCGCTTCGCATATCTCGCAGTTCTTGACTGTTTTTTTCGGTTCTGAATTATTGAAATAAATTGTATTTTTACTTGAGAATATTTTTAAATTTTAGTAAATTGATACTAAAAATAAAATCTTATTTGCTAATGGATATTTTTTGAGTTCATTTTGATTAAAATATTAATTAAAAAACACACATAGATAAATTCGTTTCATTAATTTTTCATTTTTTTAAAATGTTTGATGATAGATATTTTTTAATTCGCACAACTTATCATGGTTTATTCAATAAAGATATAAAACCAGAGACAGATCAATGTAAAGTTTTTCATCAAACTAATTTGCAATTACCAAAAATAGATTTGCCTAAATTTTATAGTGATTATTCTGAATGGCCTGCATTTATAGATTTATTTAAATCATTGGTACATTTAAATAGTTCGGTTCCAAAAATTCAAAAATTTCAATACTTGCAATTATCTTTAGGAAAAGAACCTCTCTCTCTCTAATAAAATCTTTAAATTTAAGTGAAGATAACTATGATATTGCATATAAAAGTTTGGTTTGGTTGCAATCGTTATGAAAATGTTCGCTTATTATCAAGTTCGTGTTGGCAGTAAATTACTGATTTACCTAAGTTAACTTCAGAAACTCCTGTTGAATTAAGAACATTACTAAATGTTTTTAATGAGAATTTAGAAGCGTTACGAAATTTAGGTTTACCCGTAGATTCGTGGGATTTTGTTCTTTTTCATATTGCTCTTGCCAAGCTTGATATGCCTACACTAAAAAGATTTGACTTAGAACATAGCTCAACAAATATACCAACTTTCGAAAGTTTAAAAACTTTTTTGGAAAAACAGTGTGTAGCTTTAGAATCGATTGCATTCCCTACTCAAAAATCTGATAAAAAATAATTTTCTTCTCATAGTTCCAAGGAAAAATTCGTTCGCAATAAAAAATCGTTTTTTACTATTAATTCTAGCAAATCTAATCTCAATAATTCTCAAAATGCAAGCTATTATTATTGTTCGTTTTGTAATACTAAAGGCCATCCTATATATCGTTGTAGTTCATTTCTGGAAAGATCACCTAAAGAAAGATATTCAATTGCAAAACAACATAAACTTTGTTTGAACTGTCTCTGTAATAATCATAATGTCGCTTCGTGTAGTTCTCGTTCTGTTTGTCACTCATGTAAAGGAAACCACCACACTCTTTTGCATTTTTCTACCGAAAATCAAATCGAAAATCAAGATGTAATATCGCCTCCTACGCCTAAGGATTCTGTTGCTGGTTCTCTACATACATCTCAAATTAATCCTATTCCAGGCACTTCTGGTTCTTCTCAAGTAAATTCGTTAATTAGTCTCTTATCGTCAGGCTCGCCTGTTATTATTTCTACCGCTCTCATCGAAATTCGCGATGAATATGGAAACTTCCATAAAGTCAGAGCTATCATTGACTCCGCTAGTGAATGTAGTTTCATTACGGAGAAATGTGCCAATAGGTTAGGATTGTTCAAACAAAAAATCAATTTATTGATCTTCGGAGTTGGCCAAGTATCGTCTACCGCTACCAGCTTCATCTCGTCTCAAATTCGCCCATGCAACTCATCGTCGTCGTCATCTCTATTAATCGAGGCAGTCGTATTGCCTAAAATTGGAAAGCCTACTCCTTCCTCGCCTTTAAATCTCGATTGTTGGCCTCATCTTTCCGGTATAAAGCTAGCAGACCCCTATTTTGGAAAACCTGCTCCAGTTGATCTACTACTAGGAGCAGAATTATATCCCTTTTTATTAAAGGACCAAAGAATTCTTACTCATAATCCCAAAATGCCTTCTGCTATTCTCACTATTTTTGGTTGGGTTCTCAGTGGTTATGCTTTTCCACCAGATTGCGTAAAAACTAGTTTATGCAGTGTGGTGTGCTCAGAAGATTTTCAAGATTCCATGGATTCATTCATTAAAAGATTCTGGGAGATTGAGGAACTGCCACGAAAAATATTTCGTTCTTCGGAAGATGAGTTATGCGAAAGCATATTTCTTAAGTCTCTCTGGCGTTGTGATTCTGGTCGTTTTATCGTGGGCTTACCATTTCGACATATCTCGCCAATTTTCGCTGGTTCTCGCTTACCCGCATATCGTCGTTTGCTTTCGCTAGAAAAGCGATTACTAAATTCTTCTCTCTATGACAGTTACTCTGAAGTATTACAGGAATATTTGTCGTCGGGATATATGGAAAAAGTGTCTGCTCACCAAGCTTCGGATGAAGGTCATTTCTATTATCTCGCTCATCACCCTGTAGTTAAACTCAGTAGTGCTACTACTAAAATTCGAGTAGTATTTGATGCTTCGGCTAAAGATTCCAAGGGACAGTCCTTGAATGATAATCTTTTAACGGGAGAGAAATTACAAAAGGATATATTCTCAATATTATTAAAATTTCGCATTGATAAAATCGTATTCACTGCAGATATTAAACAAATGTATCGGCAGATTTGGATAGAACCAAAGCATACGGATTATCAACGTATTTTGTGGCGGTTCTCTCTTTTCGAAGACGTTCAAGACTACCGTTTGAAAACTGTCACCTTTGGAGTTAGCTCATCTCCATTTCTAGCTCTTCGCACCATTCAACAACTTATTGCAGAGGGAAAAGCTTCATTTCCACTAGCTGCAAAAGTTCTAGAAACTGACATTTTCGTAGACGATGTTGTAACAGGCTGTTCATCGGTCGAGTCTGCATTACAATTACAGCAAGAGCTTGTGGCATTATGCAGTTCTGGAGGATTTGAACTTAGAAAATGGTCCAGTAACTCACAAATTCTTTTAGATAAAATCGCGTCATCTGTGTGTCACGATTCTTCTTTTTCTTTTGATTTTGAAAAGGACATGGTTCTCAAAACTCTCCAGTGGGTTCCACTGCAAGATTATTTCACATATAAAGTTGATATTCTGGAAAGGCCATGTACAAAAGGCACGTTTTGTCAGAGCTGGCAAAAATATTCGATCCATTGGGATCACCTCTCACTTTTTTCGCTAAATATTTGATTCAACAACTCTGGGTTTTAGGTATAGGGTGGGATGAAAAACCGCCTGATCGCATTTTGGAAATTTGGGAAAATTATAAATCCCAACTGCATCTCATTTCGTCTCTTAATGTTCCTCGTCGCATCACTTGTAATGATGTCATATACTACGAACTTCACGGGTTCTGTGACGCATCAGAAAAATATTATACGGCTGTTGTTTACCTTCGTGCTCTTTCTCATAATTCTCAATATCGTGTCTCTTTGGTGAGCGGAAAATCAAAAGTTTCGCCCTTAGAACGAATCTCTCTTCCTCGACTGGAGTTATGCGCTGCAGTCTTATTGTCTGATCTTATTGCAGCAATCTCAAAAACGCTGGAAAACAATCTTAAGTTTTGTAAGCTTTATGCGTGGTCAGATTCTATGGTAACTATTTCTTGGATTAAATCTTCACCTCATCGTTGGAATTATGTGGAATCCAATAAGAACCCTGCTGATTGTGCTTCGCGAGGTCTGTTACCAGAGGATCTAGTAAATCACGCCCTATGGTGGGCGGGACCACCATGGCTTAAAGAGCCACAAAACTGTTGGCCTTCTTTTAATCACTCTGTAGACCCTAGTTCTTTGTCAATAAAGGAGGAAAAAAAAGTAACCTCTTTGAAAATAGCCGTTTCTATAGATTTTTTCGATAGTTTATTGTCCAAATACTCATCTCTTAGTACTATACAACGCGTTCTTGTTTATATCTCTCGATTTGTTCACAATCTTCGACATCCCAAGGATAAACTTTGTCGATATATCACTACTAACGAGTTACATTCATCTCTCATGTTGCTTATTAGAAATGTTCAAGCTCAATCATTTGATCACGAAATATATTGTATTCAAAGTGGTAAGACATTGTCTAAATCTATGCGTAAGCTCTCCCCCTTTCTCGATAGCTCGGGTGTTCTCAGGGTGGGCGGTCGTTTAGGTAATTCAGGTCTCAACTTTTCTCAAAAACATCCCGTTTTGCTACCTCGTCAACATCGGTTGACCGAATTGATTATAGAACAGTACCATAAGCAATATTTGCATGTTGGATTGCAAACGTTGCAATTTCTATTGTCTCAATTTCGCAACAAAATGTATTATTTTCATTTTTTTTGCATAAATCCGAAACTAATCAAGATACCGGTGTTTTCTTCATAGATGTTTGTCAGACTTCTAATTACGCAACTTTTGTCCTATTTAACTGAATTCGTATCTCTCGTAGTTTCTGAGATGGCAGTGTTGAGTATCGAAATTGTCACCACCCTATACAGGGTCCGGCAATAGTGCGTCGGGCATATGTAGCTCCTAGAATAAACAACTTGAGAATTTTGTTTAAGTGCATGCCTGAAGTATGTACCAGGATGTATTTCAGGAAAATATTTTAACTTCTATAGAGTGGCTCAAAAAAGTGTGAGTGGACCTGGATGATTTTTTTTAAAATGGAACACCCTGTATATTATTACATTTTGGCTTCCTTTCCGATCACTTTACATAACCCTAAGATATGAATAAATACATTTTGATAGTTTCAGAGATATTAAAAAATAAATCAAAAATATATATTTTTTCAGCTCTTCTTAAAAAAATTATTAAAAATACAAAAACTGTTCTGAAAACAAAACTATATTAGGTATTTACTTTAGATGGTCTGAACTTACTTTGCTATAAATATGAAAATCGTAAATTATACAGGATGTTCAAAATTCTAAGCCAAACTTTCTAAACTATAAAATAATTTTTCTTTTAAGGCCGTTTTTTTAAATGGAACACCATGTATATTATTTTTTCAATAGACGGAGAATTAAAAAATTAACATTTTTTATATTTAGAGTATTTCAAAATTTTTAACGGTTTCGCAGATATTTGCGGTTTTATATTTCATATGGCATTTTTCACAGTAAATTTTTATCAAAGCCACCCAGTAATTTTTCTCTCGTATTTTACCATTGAAAGCGCCATATGAAATAATACTGCGTGTATCTGCGAAACCGTTAAAATTGAAATACTCTAAATAATAAATGTTCATTTTTAAAGCACTCCATCTAATAAAAAATAATATGCAGGGTGTTACATTTAAAAACAAAGAAAAAATATTTTATTTTAGAAAGTTTGGCGTAGAATATTGAACATCCTGTATGAATACGATTACCATATTTATAGCAGAGTAAGAACAGACCATCTAAAATAAATACCTAATATCGTTTTGATTTCAAGACAGTTCTGTATTTTTAATAGTCTTTTTAAGAAGGGCTGAAAAATATATATTTTTAATTTATTTTTTTAATATCTCTGAAACTATGGAAATATATCTATTCATATCTTAGGGTTATGTAAAGGATCTGAAAGGAAGAAATAAAAATGCACAATATACAGGGTGTTCCATTTAAAATCATCCAGGTCCGCTCACACTTTTTGAGCCATCCTATAGAAGTTAAAATATTTTCCTGAAATACATCCTGGTACATACTTTAGGTTTGCACTAAAACAAAATTCTCAAGTTTTTTATTCTAGGAGCTACAGATGCCCGACGCACTATTGCCGGACCCTGTATATACTAAAAAACACAAAATATGTTTGGCTATGCTTTGAGATAAAATACCCTATGCGATGTACTGGGGGAACGGTTGGCACAAACTAATCTTTTGTTAGATTAATAACCATCATCGAAAATGTAATATAATGTAAAATTGACAACGTAAACTATGATTGATTTTATTGAAGGCCTTTGGTTAAGCCAATAAGATCAAAGTCGATGTCTTACTAGAATCAATGTCACGTATAATACCCAGCAGAGCTGCTGTATAGCTATAACCTGGTTTAATCCTGTATTGTTGCTCGGGTCATATATTTTAATGTTTAGGGATCTGTTATTTTATACACATTACTGCTCTGAAATCTTAATACAGGGTGCATTTGGATTTGGTGTCAAATTTAGTTTTGGTGTTAGTTTTTGCTTTCAAATAGATCAAAAATGATATAAACCAATTAACCTGTTGCTCTCAGGTGTCAATTTGACAATTAAATTAATTACCTAGTATTTTAAAAAAGTCTGTTTTCGCCACTGGAAAAGAAATCCCCAAAAAACGTTAGTGTCTTCTTGAAAAGTGAATTTCTCCAACAAAAATAAAGTTATTAAGATGAGACAAAAAACAATCTATCAAGAAAAGATGCATCTAGATGATAAAATTATTTGTAAATTTCTTGCTTTGTTAACATACTCCACAGGGTGTTTCAAACTTTCACTACAATACCAACATTTTGTTATCCCTCGTATAATTGACAGATGGGAACTTTCATTTTTAATTTAGAAAGATATCAAAAAGTCAAATAATTTAGCTACAAATTGCTTAAAAATCATCAAAATCGGTCCACTAGAACACGATATACACAACTCTAAAATACCTACAACAAAATTTTAAGGTGTCCGTTTTTGGTGCCGGTGAGTGTAGTATTCAATTATATTATAATAATATTATCCACAAATTTTATGGATAAACGTTTATAGGTAAATATCTTTTGCAGAAGTACCATATACATATAAAGTTAAATAAGGTCTCGAGGTTTAACATGTTTTTTATAACAAAATTGTGTAACGAAACTACTATGATCGTACAGCTTATGAACCGTGAAATGGCAAATATGCATTTTATGTATGAAAAAGCTAATAGCAGAGCACGCGAAGCTCTTATTAAGAAACAAAACCTAAAAAGTGCCTTTTTTACTGTGGAAAGAGTGTATCTTAAAACATTTCAACAAAAAGGCCATTGTTATGATAAAATATTAAAATGCTGACATTTTTTCTGTTGTTAAAATTCAGAAAACTTTTAAAAACAAAAGGATTTTGCGGATTTTTAATAGAGACATCTTTTAAAACCACCCACGCTAATGACGAGGTAAATTTTTACAATACGGGCAGTGACTTTGCAAATCAATCCACTGGTTTCAACTTCTTCTTTCAAAATCGAACAATGGTTTTCAAAACTTAAGCAAAAAATATATATATTTAAATTTTCATACTGAAATTCTTAGGCTAGAATGTAGAATGAGTGAGAGGGAGGTTAATCACTGCGACCTTAAAGATCTATTAATGTAATGTACCTAGGACGGTATCACAGGATGCAGTGAGTGTAGTGGCATCATGCCTGCCTATCGACTTCTTGGCGGGAGAACGCCCGCGACAACACCGTAAGAAGAAAGCCGAGCAGCGACAGATCTTCTGTGAAGAAGAGAGGCCTGAAAGTCATCGTCTCTGGCAAGTGAGATGGGACAATCGACGAAAGGTCGGTGGACACATCGACTAATCCCGGATGTCACCAAATGGATCACCCGTGTGCACGGGGAGGTTGGATTCTACATCAACCAACTCTTGACTGGGCATGGATGCTTTCGAGCATACTTGCACAGATTCAAGAGAAGTGACTCCCCGAACTGTCACCATTGCCGCGTGGTGACCGAAGATGCGGAGCACGTGTTCTTCCGATGCCCTCTAAACGAGGAGATAAGGACGGAACTCGAGAGAAATCTAGGCTTGTCCATCAGCCCAGAAAATATAGTGGACTGCATGCTGAAGTGTCAATCGGCATGGAATAAGGTAGCGGAGTATGCTGAGACCATACTCAAGGATCTTCGCACCATCTACGAAGAATAGACAGCAGTAATTCCAATTAAGAACGCCCCGGCGAAGTAGTATTTACAAAGAGTGCCGCCGGGGAAAGAACGTTCCTGGAGGGAGGACAGAGGTGTAGATTAGGTTTTAGGTAAAAATCCCACATAACTCGTCTGGCACATAGGAGGTTTTACCAGGCGAATACCTGTTGCAGGTTTCCCCCTTCACCTCTTATATCTAAAAAAAAATGTACCTAACTCATCATACATTTCCTGTTATAGGGGGGACAGGGTATGTCCCATCCTTCCTTGATGTTCTTCCTCCGAGGGTATACATCCTTCTACGGTTGGAGTTTGGCCCTCCATGCCCTTCACAGTCGAGGAGCTTGCCTTCGGCTGAGGTACCCGTCAGGTGGAGGCTGGAGTATCCGTCTCCATTTTCTCCACCTCTTTAACTTGGTCTCTCCTTAGACCTGATATCAATGTTGTCCCGTATCTATAATAGAGGATACATCCCTCTTTCTCTATTGCCTCCTTGGATTTGAGGTTATTTCCTATTGTGAGGATCTGACCATGATCTCCTCTTTCGAGTTGATGACTCGCCAACTCGATGTACAGGGGTGTCCCACTAAGAATAGCTCTCGGCTGTATCTCGGGAAGTATTAGTTGTAGAGCTTGCGGAAAAAAATAATGGGTGTATTAATATCTAATAATTAACATATCAATGACAGTGAACAAGAAACGACGCCTCAGTGAATTCATGGTAGGCTTTGGAAATAGTTGCTTTTAAAGGGATAGTTTAAACATCAAAATATTATTATATCAACATTTTGATAGTCTCAGAAGCGTTTTTTTTTCTTTTGATTGCTTTTCTAAAAATACCTTTCTTCAAAAGAGAAAAAAAACGCTGCTAAGACAATGCTAAGAAAATGTTGATCAAATAACACTTTGACGTTTAAACTATTACGTCAAAAGCAACTTTTTTCCAGAGCCTCCCATGACGCCACTGAGGCGTTTTATTCATTGTCACTGATATCGTAATTATTAGATGTTAATACACCTAGTATTATGGTATTCTGGTATATTGTCGATTTTAGAATAAACTAATCGTTTCTATCTTATTTTTTTATTAGAATGGTCATAATCAAGAGGGCTACTGTAACCGTGTTATAAAAATAAGGTAATTAGCGGCTTATTTTTTCGTATTTATTATAATTTTGCAAATATATTTGGTTTGAAAGAGAATATAAAGATGCGGTTTTCGTTGACTTTTTAAGCTTTTATTAGTCTTTACCATCAGATAAAATTGAATATACTATCGCATTTAATTTTTTTTTTGAAAAAATGCGCAATGTTCGTTAAATTGTAGGCCCGGGCCCCTAGCGTCTCCGCATTCAAAAGCTTATTATTATTGTTTATTACGGTATAATATAAGTAAGAAACTCACTTGTAAACGAGCCCTCGTTTGTTGTATTCCGTTTATCCAGTCCGAAGTTATTAATATTTAAATAAAAACAGATCGAACCTTCCCCCACCACTTTATTTTGAGAGATGGGATTTTGAGGAAAACGGTTCTTACAAAAAATATTTAAAATTTTCTGAAGATTATGAAGCTATTATTTATAGTACTAGTTATCTAGGCAACATTGTGTAAAACCACAATTTTCTTATTTTTTTATAGCAGTTGCGCCCTTTAGCGGCCATTCCACAAACTTGAAAATAGTTTCCAGCAATTCCAGAGTTTATGGTTCTTTCTCATAGCCTCTTTAGTTATAAATTTTCCGCAAGCTCTACGACTAATATTTTCCGAGATATAGCCGAGAGCTATTCTTAGTGGGGCCACCCTGTACTTACATTGGAGTTCTGAGCCTGGATAAGGCTCAGCAGGTCAGCAGCATGGCCGCCCCTTTTGGGAATTTTTTTCCTTTTAATTCTTAGGCTAAAGAAAATATAAACAAACAAAATACAAGAAGCAGAAAAAGGTTGTTTATATATACCCTATACCAAACCTTCAGCTCCATCTACGGTAACGTGGATGAAGCAAGCATAAAGAAAATATATTTCTTTTATCTAGATCTACCAGTCATGAAAATTATTGCACTTATTTAAGACTCATTCTGTATAGTAAATATACAACAAAAAAAAACGAAATTTGCTGATGACCTATTATTTATAGTACCCCTCACCTAGGCAAAATTTTGTAGAATTCCCATTTTCTTATTTGCTTTTATTTCTCTATCTGCTATATCAGTCAGTAGTTTTCAGTCAGTAGTCACTGAAAATAATTTCCAGCAATTTCTCATGGCCGTTTTTAGTTAAAAATATTTTTTTCCGCAGGCTATTACTTTCCGAGATACAAGTAATATCTTACAACTTCTACATTTAAAGTTTTTTACTACCTACCTCGAATAGGTAAGCATGCTGATATTGCACTAAATATCTCTGAAAATCCTGTACGTTAAAATGTTATTAATCCCGCTTTTTTATTTAGTATAATCGAAAAAATATATTTTACGTATTTTAACGGTATTTGGTCTTAAACGTCTTCCTAATTACCCCATTTACCAAGAAACTGGGAATTTATTTCTGAAAATCTCCGGCATTGATTATTTATTAATATCTCCGGATAAGCACGTTATTTCCGGATCGCAATCAATAATACAGGAAATGAAAAGTTAAAGTTAGAAATAGAAATTACTCGTCATTTTTATATTCTACGTTGAGATGATTGAGTTCACGGTTTGAGCTTATGGTTCCTTCTCGATTTTTGATGCAGGATAACAACAAAAGGGTCAAAAACATTACTATTAATTTTGAAATTTTACAGAGATTACGATTAGATGTACCACTTATCATTAGGTGTGAACTAATCTTAAAAACCCAGAACTACTGAGCCTAGATACTAGAGCATGCCTAGTGATGTTAAATTACCGCTCTAAACAGGTCTGGAAATATAATTTTTTTTATTTCAAAACTGTAAAAATATTACAAAAAAAGGCAAGAACGTTTTTTAAACTTGTCAGAGTCAGAGTGATAACTTATATATATTATATTATAAAAAAGAAGAAAAAAGATTAAACGGCTCAGCCCTCAACAACTCGTAACCGTATACACCAGTGTACACCAGTGCAGACACGCACACTCACACAACCACACCTACACTAGTGCACACTGATGTAACTGCCTTCAGGCTTCATCAGTACGGTAAGGAATCAGGAAGCGAAGAAACCGATCCCAAAACACAAAAAACCAGGAAGCAAACGATGCAACGAGGCACCGTGTGCAACCCAGGAGATGGAAAAAAATTGATGAAGAAACGAAAATAAAAGATGGAAAATAAAAGGAGCAAACGGGAGCCTAAAGCCCCAATTTGCAGCCAAGAACCAGAGTCGCCCAGGATTGTGGGCTTCGTCCAGAACAGCCGCGGAGGTAGCCAACAGCAACCCGCCGCCTCGCCCGCCGCAATACCCTTAGCCGTGGTACCAATATGAAAAAGAAAGAAATAGTGAGGGAAATGTATAAAAAAAGAAGAAAAAAGATTAAACGGCTCAGCCCTCAACAACTCGTAACCGTATACACCAGTGTACACCAGTGCAGACACGCACACTCACACAACCACACCTACACTAGTGCACACTGATGTAACTGCCTTCAGGCTTCATCAGTATACGGTAAGGTTGTGTGAGTGTGCGTGTCTGCACTGGTGTACACTGGTGTATACGGTTACGAGTTGTTGAGGGCTGAGCCGTTTAATCTTTTTTCTTCTTTTTTATACATTTCCCTCACTATTTCTTTCTTTTTCATATTGGTACCACGGCTAAAATGGCTGTGGCGGGCGAGGCGGCGGGTTGCTGTTGGCTACCTCCGCGGCTGTTCTGGATGAAGCCCACAATCTGGCGACTCTGGTTCTTGGCTGCAAATTGGGGCTTTAGGCCCCGCTTGCTCCTTTCATTTTCCATCTCTTTATTTCGTTTCTTCATCAATTTTTTTTCCATCTCCCTGGTTTCACACGGTGCCTCGTTGCATCGTTTGCTTCCTGGTTTTTTGTGTTTTGGGATCGGTTTCTTCGCTTCCTGATTCCTTACCGTACTGATGAAGCCCGAAGGCAGTTACATCAGTGTGCACTAGTGTAGGTGTGGTTGTGTGAGTGTGCGTGTCTGCACTGGTGTACACTGATGTATACGGTTACGAGTTGTTGAGGGCTGAGCCGTTTAATCTTTTTTCTTCTTTTTTATATATTTCCCTCACTATTCCTTTCTTTTTCATATTATATTATATGGTGGATAATAATAAACCATTCTCAATCTCGTTATCTGGTTCTTCTTTTTCTTTCGTTAATTGAGACAAGTCTATTACTTCGAAATCGATATCTTCTTCTTCTTCCACATCTTTCTCAGCAGCTACTATCATCCTTGGATGTTCTTTTCCAATTAGTAAATTATAATCATGGGCAATATAAGTAAGTTATCTGGTCTTTTCAACGGTAAGTCTGTTTCTTCTTGGCCCATGGATAAATCCATTAGAATTAGAATTAGAATAAGTGGGAGGGGGGTTAATCTCTGCGACCTTAGAGATCTATTGTGTCCCTTTTTCTTGAGTTATAACTCATCATACAGTCCCAGACTTCCTACGGAGACCCGTGTCCCTCACAGTCGAGGAGCTACGACCCAGGCCGGGTAGACGAAACGGTAGCTTG